ACACTCGAATTGTATCAGGTGTTTTTTTCCCTATTTCTTTGTAAATATTTCTTTTTTAAAATTATTTCCATTTTAAATTTTAAATTATTTTTTTAACCTCCAAGTTGGTTGGAGGTTTGTCCTAAAAGTGGACACGTGTTCAATTATTGTTTTGACACTTGGCATAATAATATGAATTTGCTTCTTCTATTCTATATAGATTGTTTTGACACTTGGCATAATAATATGAATTTGCTTCTCCTATTCTATATAGATAGAAGACCGGAATTCGAAAAAAGAAATAAACGGACGTATGACGTATCATTCTCGTATGTCCTTTCTCATGCTAAGATAACATGGCAAGATATTTGGAAATATTTAAGTTCTTTCTTTCCTCATTCTGACAAAGCCAACAATGATAGGTGATTGTTTTAACTAAGAATTCAATAAATGCACATAAGGTTTATGTCAGCCCAAAAGATAGGGTGATCAAGGAGAAAAAGTGACATTGCACAGCATTGTGCAAAGCATGCTGTTCGAACCGATACTCAGAACAGAGCGATCTGCCGAATGTCACTACAGTGGATTCCTGTTTACATCTTTGTACAACAAGTAGCGCGAACGTGTCTTTCCCAGTGCAGCATACCTGACAGGAAGAGCAATGTAATCACTAAGACATGCTTTCACATACTTGCAGTAGAAAGATCCTGTATCTCTCACTTACCACTGAGGCACAAATGGTGCCATCCAAATAGCATCACCGGCTTGAATGGGGTACCTATCCAAAAGAAAATGACAGAATGTTAGACCATGACTTTAGGTTTCTAAAGTTTCAATGGATTGAAAGCAATAAATCTATTCCAGAGTATGTTAAAGTTCTATTCCTTTACTATCAATATCTAAAAAGAAGTTCAGAGATATGTCATCAGAAATGGCTTCACCCAAAAGATCAGGGACTTAACAACCCTGATGAATGCTTGACTGGATAAATTACAATAGACAAAGAAGGTGCTAATTCTTGAGGCTAATATCTCATGGCAAGCAAATTTTCCATCATTTACAGATCTTAGATTTTATATTCAGACTACGAAATGTTGATTGGTTAAGGATAGCAGTCAAAGGTAATGAACATTATAGTGATGTTATTGTGATTAGGCATCTGTAATGTTCAATGGGCACACACTTTTCAAATCATTTCCCAGTTTTAAAATCATGAGCTTCTTCGTAAAAGAATTGATAGAGTTTAATATTCCAGGAGATCTTATCAAATCCAGGCTCAATATATAGAGTTTGATCCTTACCAGCTATCACTCAGTCGATAAATACCTTGCCCCTCCAAAAGCAGCAAACCATGCTGGTTATAATGAACTTCCTGCAATTCAGCCAGAAATACGTTTTATATACAACTTGAAGTAGTTGCAGGTGAGAAACAATCGGTTCTCAACGATATTATGGAAGATCAAGCAAGATGCCAGTTAATCATCTAGTGTAATAAATTAATGCTACAGAATACCGTCAAATATTGTATAGGCAATGTAAAATAACTTTTATGTCTTCTTCTTTTATACAAGTCAAGCCCTTGCTGATACAATGTGACAGAACTAGGAGAACCAAGGAAAGGGACACAAGCAATACTAGTGGAAAAGCATACCTTGACATTGAGGAATTCTCCTGGTTGGAAATCCATGATCTTCCGCAGGCAGAAACATGTGGCAGAAAATAAAAGGAAAAAAAGAATTTAGGAAAAGACTACTGATGAAGATCCAAGCAAGACTATTGTATACCTTTAGTTCTATGTGTATAAGTTTGCCTGTGGGTAAAAAATTACTATGGATACACTTTCAGCCAGCTTCAAGGAACCTTGTTCACATCTAAGCAAAATTTCATTCATTTGCAGAAGTTTTATATTATTCAACTCTACCAACTCTAAGCAAGCTCATATGTCAGAGTTAAAAGTTATCCGGAGTATAATAAATTAGGTACAAGTAAGGTGAAACAAGCCACAGATAAGCGGTAGAACTCACGTGTATATTGAAATCATAAGCTAAAGATGTTGGCAGAAGCTTCCTTAGCTCAAAAATCTGGCAACATAAAAAGAAATGGAAATAAAAAGGATGTTATTGTATTCTACGATTAAAACCAAAACTCTATAACAATAAGGAAAAAGAAACCTCCTTTCTCTCTCCAAGGGACTTGAATTTTATGATTTCGAATAGAGAGGAGAAAGAAATAGAATAATATAGTTCAAATAAGGGAATCAAATTGTATTTAAAATAGTAGAGATGGGAAAAGAATACCTCGCCAGGAGTTTCAAGAAGGGGCTGCTTTTCTGTTGAACCAACAATTTGCTCAGTAACATGATTTTCCAAGCTAGAATACCTAAAACAGAAGACTATGAGCATTTAGAATTAAAATATACAAGAAACCTGGCAATCAAAGTTAGATGTTGAAAAAATAACGCATGTTGTTACGATGCCACAAGTCAATCCGAGTGTACAGAATGACACCAACATGAGGTAGCATGAAATAAAAGACTGACCTCCTTTCAAATACAACAAGAGTAGCAGCTGCATCAGTTTCCACTGCATGATCAAAATTGGGAGGCAGATAAGCATACGAATCAACCTGCATGTGAAGTTAGAAGGCATAATAAGTCTACAGGTTTCATTCAAGTTGTCTCAGTGGGGGAAGAGGCAGGTGGATCTGCTTATTGATTGAAAGATGTCAAGGTGAGATAGAATAATAAAGTTTTGAAATCTGAATACCAAACTAAAATCTTAAGTAACAATTAGAGTATACCAAGACGGCAAGACCTATATATAACTCTTGGGAATGTCCTTAGATGCCTGAATTGGGACACCATAGAACTCAACATCCTCCCACACGTATAATCTGATTCTAGAGTTGATAGTTGGACTTGTGATCTAATGGGGACTTACGAGTTTAAAAATGGGATTGTTAAAGATTGACTCCAATACCACGTGAAATCTAGGAGTAAGAGAAACAAGGAGACGACAGCTTAAGCGTCTTGTATATTAGGAACTCATAATTATAAGATAGGCTCCTTATTGTTCGAATCACCATTTCTCATCCAATAACCAAAAGTCTAAAATATAGATGACATCATTGAAGAGATACTGGATAAAAGGACCCCTTAAAATCTGAGAGATGAGATCAGAAACTGATAAAACGAATAGACCAAAATTCTCAAATTCGGTTGACATATTTGAAGAAGTATCAGATAGCTAAAGAAAGGTCCTCAAAATCTCATGGGGGTTGGAAATTGCTGAAAAGATGATGAAACTTTTCTTTATTTATTTTAGTCTACAACAGCCCTCAATATCGATTTCTGAGTCTTTTTTTTCTTAGACCAAGTACGTCAAAATGTTTTGTTGATAGGCGGTGCTAAAACATGAACTCGGGATTTACCTACTTTGCACTAAAGAATCTATGCTCTGACCCAAAATATTAAGCAACGGGTGGAGTAGTGTAAGACCACTATAAGCTATGTTGGATGACTTTATATACACAACACATTGTATAACTGAAACAAATTTCACTATATAGCCTTAACCTAAAGCATGGCACTCACATTTGAATGGATTCTCAACAACTATGAGTTAAAGCATCATTGGGGCAGCAAATTGATATCTGCTGCCACGAATAGGAAAAATGAAGTAGAATCGTTTCCTTATACACAAAATTGATGGTTGCCTGGCATTTAACCAGCTGTGTAGCAGCAGCTTCTCAAACTTCATTACAGTAATAAGAGAAATGGCAGGCTATAAAAGTACAGTTGGCGTACTGTTAGTTTGTGGACATTCCCGGACATGTTGGTGAGAACCACACTTCCCTGGACCACAAATATGAACCTGATTTTGCAAGAGTTAGAAAAACTATACAAAGGAAGTACTAGAACTTTTTGTTTCGTTGTGAAATAGCAATTAGAAAAATATTGCACAAGAGGCTCTAATTGGAAGAGGCATGTGCCAAGTTTTAAGTATACTCAGCGTGAAGAAGTTTTGAAAAAAGAAACAATCACTAAAAATCTGCCCACCTTTCAACACCACTAGGAGGGAGCCCCGATTTTGAATTTTCTGCAAGATGGAAAAATTTCAAATAGTTACAACCAAACATTCATAGAGCGCTTACAGAATGCATCATGCAACTTTTTCTGGCGAACATCATTTGGTTTTGGAGCTGAGGATAGAGACTAATGTCTGTAGCATCATGTGCCTATAGAGTCTTCACTCTTGCTAGTTTAAAAAGGATATAATAGACTTTAGAAGCCTTTGTTTTGGTCTTCGTAGCATTTTCTCTACATACTTTTTTTTCCTTTTCTTGAGTCGAGGGTCTATCGGAAACAACCTCTCTACCCCATCGGGGTAGAGGTAAGGTCTGCGTACACACTACCCTCCCCAGACCCCACTTAACCCCACTTGTGGGACTATACTGGGTTGTTGTTGTTGTTGTTGTACTTTTTTTTTCCTTTTGTTGACATTTCTCTTAAATTAGGAGAATACAAATAGGGATGCACCACCACCCTCCCTGACATTTTGAACATAATCTGAAACCAGACCACCGGATAACATATAAACATGAAAGCTTAAATGGCAGATTAACACGAAAAGATCCTTAATTATTCTGCAAAAATATGGCAGCAACATTGAAACACTCAAGAAGATACCTTGCATCTTTGCCAAGTACATGACGAAATGCGAGCCGATTGCTGGTGTGATTAGATAGGCGCCTAAAGTATTCGACCTGCCAAATTGTTTTAGATGAGCAATCAACCAAGATTTATGAATCTATCAACCAGACAATGCAAATGGTTGGTTGAGCATACCAATCAGGCAAAGGGCTGAATACATGGCTTTCAGGAGTAATGAAAGCATGGTCCTTCTTATACACACTACGAGTAAATCCCGGCAAGTCTGCAAGCAAACAAAGAATAAATAAATTAATAACCAAATAAATAACCCCAAATTTAGTTTCATCTGCATCATCATTGTCTTAACAAAATTTGCAAAAGCGTCATTGTAAAACAAATGCTAAAAGATATCCTAAGAAAAAAGACATCTAATTGTTTGTGGGGTTGCTAAGAGAATAGAACACGGTAAAATCTTACCCCGCACCTAGTGTTTACACCAAGCCAATGAATATAGGATAGATGTATTCACCTACACTCTTATCTTTCTTTTGAGAAATAAATATATACACTTAATTTGTGACTTGGCCATGGTAAATTAGTATGGTTTGGTGTAAACACCGGGCATGAATAAATATTAACCACGGCATGTCTATAATCAAACAAGTAACAATAGCATTCAGTAACTTTTTCATTGCACACCATTAGCCAATAACTTTAAGTTATACACTGACAATATAAAAGCCTTTCACATTAGTCTAATTTAATCTACATGTAATCAGACATGAACTTGATAAATTCACAACAATTAAAAACTGAACTTGATGGATTCTTTTTTTCCCTTCTTTCCAATAGTGGTATATATGGAGCACAACAATGTACTGACCTTGGAGATGAGAAGGGGAGAGTGTGGGGTTAGTAACTTTCCAGTAAAGCGGCTGAGAGCTGGAATCAGAATCAGCGTCAAGAATTGATGGTGCAGAGCAAAACCCATCTTGGGTTAAGGCAGTTTTCACAAAACCTGAAAGAACTTTAACATATAAAGAAACATAAGCAACACTAGACAAATGATTACTGAAATTATTTAAATTAAAAAGTAAGAGTAAAAAGGGGATTACTCGGACTTGTTAACAGGAGGAAGAAAGAAAGAGAGGAAAATGGTGAAAAAGACTGCATTTTGAGATTGCCCAATGTACACATTACAGTCCAGATACTGAGGGGTTCTTATTGATTGTTTTGGTTTTTTTGTCTTGTTGTTGCTTCAGTTCTGACTTTGCTTTCTTTTTTCTTTTGGGCGGAATAAATAATAAATTTTTAAAGATCAATATATTTCTTTTAGACAGTAACAACAACAACAAATCCAATTTGATCCCAACAAGTGGGGTCTGGGGAGTATAGTCTGTACGCAGACCTTACCCCTACCTAATTCAGGTAGAGAGTTTGTTTCCAATAGACCCTCGGCTCAGGAAGGGCAAGAAGAAGAGGAAAGTAAGGGAGGAAGAAAGATGGAAGATTAAAAAAAAAAAAAAAAGGGAAAGGTAAAGGATAAGTGGCAACAAATAATAGCACAAGTAATACAATACCTGAGGCGAACAAAACCACATAACATAATAAAAATCTAAGAATATGAAGGGACATGCATACTACTAAAACTATCGGTGAACAACTATAAACTACCAACTAACCTTCTACCTTAATCCTCGACCTCCACACTCTCCTATCAAGGGTCATGTCCTCGGTGAGATGAAGCAGCGGCATGTCCTGCCTAATCACCTCTCCCCAATACTTCTTAGGTCTACCTCGACCTCTTCTCAAACCCTCCATGGCCAACCTCTCACACCTCCTAACTGGACCATCAATGCTTCTTCTCTTAACATGTCCGAACTATCTCAGCCTCGACTCCCGCATCTTGTCCTCCACAAAGGCTACTCCTACTCTGTCCCGGATATCTTCATTCCTAATCCTATCTCTCCTGGTACACCCACATATCCATCTCAACATCCTCATCTCTGCTACTCTCATCTTCTGCACGTGGGAGTTCTTGACTGGCCAACACTCGGCCTCATACAGCATAGCCGGTCGAACCACCACTCTATAAAACTTACCCTTAAGTCTTAACGGCACATTCCTATCACAAAAAACACCGAAAGCGAGCCTCCACTTCATCCATCCCGCTCCAATACGATGCGCGACATCTTCATCAATCTCCCCGTTACCCTGGATAATAGACCCGAGATACTTAAAACTCGCTCTCTTGGGGATAACTTGAGCATCAAGCTTAACCTCTACGTCTGCATCATGGGTCCCGTCACTGAACTTGCACTCCAAGTATTCCGTCTTGGTTCTACTCAGTTTGAAACCTTTAGACTCCAAGGTCTGTCTCCAAACCTCCAACCTCGCGTTAACTCCGCCATGTGTCTCGTTAATCAACACTATATCATCGGCAAATAGCATGCACCAAGGCACCTCCCCTTGGATGTGACGCGACAATACATCCATCGCCAAGGCAAATAAAAATGGGCTAAGAGCCGATCCCTGGTGCAACCCCATCACCACAGGGAAATGCTCCGAGTCACCACCCCCAGTCCTCACCCGAGTCTTAGCATTATCATACATATCCTTAATCACACTAATGTACGCTACTGGAACACCGCTAACCTCCAAACACCTCCACAGGACCTCCCTCGGACTTTATCGTATGCTTTCTCAAGGTCAATAAACATCATATGCAAATCCTTCTTCCTCTCCCTGTACTGCTCCACTAGTCTCCTTACCAGATGAACCGCTTCCGTAGTCGAACGTCCCGGCATGAATCCAAACTGATTCTCGGAAATAGACACACACCTGCTCACCTTGGCCTCCACCACCCTCTCCCAAACCTTCATAGTATGACTCAACGGCTTAATACCCCTATAATTATTGTAATTTTGGATATCACCCTTGCTCTTGTAAAGCGGAACCATCGTACTCCACCTCCATTCTTCGGGCATCTTCTTTGTCTTAAAAATAACATTAAACAGCCCAGTGAGCCACTCCAAACCTGCCCGCCCCGCGCTCTTCTAGAATTCCACCGGGATTTCGTCTGGCCCCGTCGTTCTGCCCCTGCACATCTTACGCATCGCCCCTTCCACCTCCTCTACCGTAATCCTCCTACAGTACCCAGAATCCCGCCGACTCTCGGAGTGATCCAACTCACCCAGCACAATGCATCTATCCCCCTCCTCATTCAACAGTTTATGGAAGTATGTCTGCCATCTTCTCCTAATAAGTGCCTCGTCCAACAACACTTTTCCATCCTCGTCCTTGATGCACTTGACTTGGTCTAAGTCGCGGGCTTTCCTCTCCCTCGCCTTGGCCAACCGGTACACCCTCTTGTCCCCGCCTTTGCCCTTGAGCTCCTCGTACAAACGAGCAAATGCCGCGTTCTTAGCCGTCGTAACTGCTAACTTCGCCTCTTTCTTTGCCTTTCTGTAACACTCCCGATAAGTCCTTTTTTCCTCCTCGTTTGTACTCTCCACTAGCTTCAAATAAGCAGCTTTCTTAGCTTCCACTTTACCTTGAACCTCTCCATTCCACCACCAATCCCCTTTATGACACCTAGGAGAGCCTTTCGTGACCCCTAAGACCTCTCTAGCAGCTACCCTAATGCAATCCGCAGTGGTGCACCACATACTAGACTCGTCCCCCCTACTCATCCAGGCCCTTATAGCCAACAACTTCTCCCCTAACTCCTGAGCTTTGTCCTTGGTCAGGTTACCCCACTTGATCTTAGGTTGCCTGCACCCCGCCCTCTTCCTCCTACTCCTCTTGATCTCCAGGTCCATAACTAGGAGCCTATGTAGAGTCGTGAGGTGCTCACTTGGGATGACCTTGCAGTCAATGCACATACCTTTATCACACTTCCTGCAAAGAAGATAGTCAATTTGAGTCTTGCCCATTGAATTCCAGAAAGTGACCAGGTGCTCTTCCCTCTTCGGAAAACTCGAGTTAGCTATAACCAAATCAAAAGCTCTAGCAAAATCCAATAGTGAATTACCTCCCTCATTCCTAACCCCAAAACCGTACCCGCCATGCACATCATCATAACCCCTAGAACCAAGAAATGTTTCATTTGAACACATACTGCCCTTGTCACTTGGCTCAACGGCCAAATCGAAAATGGCCCAGGTTTCAAATCCTTACTCTGTTTGGTTCAGGTTGCACATAACATAAAAACCGTAAAAATAGCACGGGCTAGCCAGTTTTCGGACTGGTCATTCAAAAATAGCCAGCATTTGCAAGGTCATTAAAAAATAGCCACTATTTTGCTACAACACGGAAAGTTCCAACATAATATACTGGAGATCAGTGCACTTGTGTATGAACTTCCAGCATATTATGCTGGAACTCCAACACGTAAAAGTGCCAGTATAATATACTAGAGATTGGAGCACCAGTGCTCCAATCTCCAGTATATTACGCTGGACCGATATATTATCGAAAATGGCCCAGGTTTGAAATCCTTACTCTGTTTGGTCCAGGTTGCACATAACATAAAAAAACATAAAAATAGCACGGGGTAACCAGTTTTCTGAGCGGTCATTCAAAAATAGCCAGCATTTGCAAAGTCATTGAAAAACAGCCACTATTTTGCTGCAACACGGAAAGTTCCAGCATAATATACTGGAGATCAGTGCACCTGTGTATGAACTTCCAGCATATTATGCTGGAACTCCAACACGCAAAAGTGCCAGTATAATATACTGGAGATTGGAGCACCGGTGCTCCAACCTCCAGTATATTACGCTGGACCGAAAATATTATACTGGAGTATTTTTCCGGATTTTGAACCGTTTTTTTGTTCAAATTTATCTTTACATGAAAAGTGGCTAAATTTCGATTACTTTTGAAATTGTGGCTATTTTTGAATGACCACTTATAAATATGGCTACTTTTCAATCTTTAGCCCACATTTATTATTTAAAGGTTATATTTAGTTTCCACTTTTATTTTCATTTCTTCTCTCTTTTCTCACGCTATTGCTATTTATCTTTTTCTCTTTATTCCAACAAACCACAAAAAGTATAGAGAAATTGAAATTTTGAGACAAAAGGTGGGAGCTTTTGCATATAAGACTCCATTTTTTTCATGGATTTTTTTTTAAAAATATTTCTAATCCCCCTTGTCAGAGAAAAGATGATTGCAATGAAAGAAAATTGAAGCATAGAAGTCAGCCATTGGAGTCCATTCAAAGTTTTGCTTTTGAAAATATGATTTTTTTGAGTTTGTTAGTTGTTTGGATTGGGTGTTGTTCCAATTGATTGAAAACATCAAAAGGAGTTAAAAATTTAAATTTAAAGTGATTTGGAGTAGATTTGAGCAAGATTTGAGTTAAATTTCAAAAAAGACGCAAAGAGGTAAATGAAGTCAGTTTTTGTATAATTATGTATAACAGAGTATATGAGTGTATAAACACATCTTATACACTTTTATACAAGAATATGTAGGGAAAGTTCTTCCACGATTTTCAGTTGCAATTCTTGTTCAAAATCAGTCCAAATATCCATTAAATGATTTCAAATTTTATATACAACCTCCTTATATTATATCTAACAAGTCTAAATAACATCCGCTCCCAATTTCTGACAAAACTAAATTCGAAATTTAAACCACTTATTTAAGCTTGTTCAACAATGGTGCACTAGTCCAAATCTTCATTAGATGACTTCAAATTTTGTAGACAACCTCTTTATACTATTTATAACAAGTCTAGAATAGTATGCACTCCAAATTTCTCATAAAATCATATTGAAATTTAAACCCACTTATTTAAGCGTTTTCAACAATGGTGGATTATCTTAAAAATCTAATTTTCACCACCCAAATAGATTTGGTATGTTCAACTAGTGTTTGAGTCACAATTACTGATTCGAAAATTAGATTAAAAGCTTTGAGCATTTTTAAAAAATGAATAGTAATTTTGAGAACCTATTTGGACTTGAATGTTGAATCTTAGCCTATTATTTTTGGGCTATAACTTCACAAAGTATTTTTTTTTTTTGCTTAAAGGGCAATATTATATATGGCTAGATAACAAAAGATAATACAGCAGAGTCATTTTTAGGGTATTGTAGTACCCCCACAGTAGTAATATTATGCAAGATTGAGTCTATATTACAACCCACAAAAGTTCTAACCGATTCAGTTCCTAGGATGTCTGCCCAAAATACATCATTGACAAACATCGGAGGAACTGACAATATCCTAGACTTGTTCAAAAGAACTT